GACTGATGCCGTCACCATAGCAACGGGTTAGCTACCTCCAGTTCCTCCCCTCTCGTGCACGCATGTACACACACACACATACACACACAGAGCGATCAGTGGGTAAGCTGCACAAACACGGGAGTTGCCATCCCAGTATCCGTGTAAAAAGGTGGGCCTGTCTGCAGCCCTAGCCCTGGGGGGTGGAGAGAGGCAGGTCCCAGGGCCTCGCTGTCACCCGAACTTCAGCCAGGCCTGGTGTGCCTGTGAATTCAAGGCCAGCCTAGGGCTAAAATTACAGGCCCACGCCTACCTCTGCTACAAGCTTTTTACAAACACAACAGGCATGGGCTAATACAACAGGCATTTTATTGACTGAGCCGTATTTCAATCTTAAAAATCTTTTTGCTTTCTCTCTCTCTCTCTCTCTCTTTGTTGTTGCTGAGACAGTTTTTCTCTGTGTAGCCCTGGCTGTCCTGGAACTTTCTCTGTAGACCAGGCTGGCCTCGAACTCACAGAGATCCATCTGCATCTGAGTATCCCTGGTGCATTACCCCCAGGGATAAGTCTAAACACTGTCTCAAATAATAGTAGCAATAATAATAACAAATAATAATAACACCCCAGACGAGGAAAAACCATAGTCTTTGGAGGCAGATCCTCACGAATCAACAATTTTTCAACTAGTTGATTTTACTCTTATCTTCTCGAGGTATGGGCTCACTACACAGGCCCGGCTGTCCTGGAACTTGTTATGTACACCAAGATGGCCTGGAACTCACAGAGATCGGCTTTCCTCTGCCTCCCAAGTGCTGGGATTAAGGATGTGCACCAACATCCCTGGCTCAGTTAATTTTTAAGTCAGCACACAGAGATAAGTTTTAGTGACAAGTTTGCCCTTTGATGCATCTGTCTCTACTCATCATAATTTCTTTTAAATCACACTCTCCCCTATTGCACAGTTCCATCGTCCCTAATACCCCCTTCCTGGTTCTCTTTCTTCCCCAAATCATCTTTTTTCTCCCCCTGCTTGGGAATGACATGAATTCAAACAGGACGGGGTAGGAGATTGAGCCAGTTAGCTCCGTGCTGGTCCTTCTGCTTCGGCCTCCCAGCGTGCATGAGCGCTCGTATATATGTCTGTGCACACAGGAAATGTCAGAAGCCAGAGAGGGAATTAAAACGCCTGGAAGCGGAGCTGCAGGCAGTCCTGAGCTGCCATGGAGGTGATGGGACCCGAACCAGGTCTCCTAGCGGAGCAGTAAGTGTTCCGAGCGGCTGAGCCGCCTCCCCCGCCCAGCCGCTCTCACACACAGTCGCGGTTGGGAGCCGCTGAATCCAGGCTCTCTCCGCGTGCTCGGGGAAATGGCTGAGAGTTAGTTAATGAGTGGATCCTGTAGCCCAGGCTCTGTTTCTGGCTCCTGTCTGACACTGGCAGAAAAGAGCTGGCAGCGGCCACAGGGATCTCCCTCGTGCCCCCTAGTGGTCAGAGTGGCCTCGGCAGCTTCCGGTAATCGTTCAACGCTCTTCGGAGCCTTGTTGCAGAGTCCTCCTTCCTGCTCTCCTCCCCCCCTCCCTCCCGCCCCAGAGAAGCCCAGCCAGCCCACACCTTGACTTTATAAATAACCTGAGCAGGGTTCATCCAAGCTGTGCCAACTTCACTTATGTACGTGTGTGCGGTGCATGCTGCCCGTGCGTGTGCGGTTGTGAGCCGCCACGTATGGGCACCGGGAACCCAACCCAGGTTCACAGAATGAGAAGCCAGCGCTGTTAGCCACGGAGCCCTCTCTCCAGCTCCCCTGACCGTTACCAATGCCCCACCCCAACCCGTCACCTCGGTCTGTACTTAGTACAATCTGCCCAGGTTCTAAGGCCATCTGCCCCTCCCTCCCCTCCCCCTCCCACCTCAGGGGCTTCTTCGCCCCTGTGTTTTTGGAGCAATTTAAACTCCCAGTTATTTATTTATTTATTTATTTATTTAATTCTTTGTGAGTTTCACATCATGCACCCCGTCCCACTAATCTCCCCAACCCTTTGTATCTGCCCTCCGTCCTTGCAACCTCCCCACAAAGGAAAACAAAAAAATAAAATAAACAAAGCGTAGACAACATCTCGTTGTGGAAGCCGTAGTGTGTCCCAGAGTACACCCTTCTGTCCACACATCCTGCAGCTTTGGGCCAGCAGGACCGTCCCTTTCACACGATCCAGCAGCTCACAGATGGGGTAGATGTCCTCACAGATAGGGTCACATTCCTCCATTCTCCGGAAAGGTACTAAGAGGCTTTCGCTTAACCTGGACCTAAAACTCAAAACTATAGGCTTTAGAAGACATACAGGTTACAAAGTTAGTCTGATCCTTTCACTGCCACCATGCCATTCGGTCGTGGGCACTAACCTTCTGGAGCTGTGTGCCCCCAAATGAAATGTTTTCTTCTGCCAGTTGCTATGGTCGATAGTGACTAGGGGAGAGTGTTGGAGACCGGCGGGAGGAGGCCAATCCTAAAAGTACATATGCTGTGTTCTCTTGGAGGTGGCTAAGCAGGAGTCAGAGTTTGCTCAGGACTTTCCGTCTTTTGTTCCATAACTAGGGGGTCCCCGGCTGAGCAAGGGCCCCTAAAGCTGTGGGTCACCACAGGCTTTGTGTGCTGAGTAATTCCAGGCCCCTGCATCTCTTTCTGTGGCTCTCCATTGATGAAGCACTGAGGTGAGTCAGCCATTCCCCAGCAGACCTGTAATCCTAGCACTAGTCAAGTGGGGATGGGGGGGGATTAGAACGTTAAGTATCCTCAGCTATACCCCATGTGTGAGGCCAGCCTGGGCTACATCAAACCCTGTCTCAAAGAAAGAGCAGCAAAGTATGCCCCCTCGACAGCAGCCCTATCCATCCCATCTTTCTGTGATGTGCTCCCAAGAGCCTAATGGGACTTCAGAATCCCGGCAAGATGCCCCTCTCCAACCACTTCTTGTACAAGAAGGCGGAAACAAACACCACCAACCAGGTTCACTTTCTGAATGGCGTGTGCTCTTTCCCCAGCATAGGTCTCTTACTCTGCCTTACCATGGGAAAGGGCCTATGTCAGACTTATCTTCCGTGAGGCACATACTAGTGGTACCTTAGCGTTTCCATTGCTGCAACAAAACATCACGACCAAAGCAAAGATCTTTGGTTTATTTGTCTCACAGTTCCATATCGCTGTTTCACCATTTAAAAAAAAAAAAAAGGCCAGGGCAGGAACTCAAACAGGGCAAGAACCTGGAGGCAGGAGCTGATGCGGAGGCCATGGAGGGGTGCTGCTTATTGGCTTGCTTCCCCTGGCTTGCTCAGCCTGCTTTCGTTTAGAACCTAAGATCACCAGCCCAGAGACGGCACCACCTACAGTGGGCTGGGCAGCCCCCCCCCAACCCCGCCCTGCATCAATCACTCATTAAGAAAATGTCTTCCAAGCTTGTCTACAGCCAGAAATTATGGAGGCTTTTTTTTTTTTAATTGAGCTTCCCTCCTCTCAGATGACTTTAGCCTGCATCAAGCTGACAAAAAATCATCCAGCACAAGTGGGCTGTGTCTGAGACTCAGCTGAAATGGAAGCCTAATGCACACTTGGAAAACAGCTTGACAGGAAGCTGGGGCATGAACAGTCTGCAGAATGCTTGACTTGCAAGCAATAGTACCAGAGTTCTATCCCCAGGACCTATTTTAAAAGGCCAGTGTAGGCATACGGTTACCGAGTAATTCAAATGCCAATTTCTGTATCCTCCGTGTCTGGGTACAATCCTTGTTCTGAGAATCTTCTGTCTCCATGTTGTGCAAACACTGCTTCTCAGCTGTCAATAAAGTAGCTTACAGCCAATCACTGAGCAAGGAGAGGATAGGGCTGGACTTCCTGCCAGCCAGGGGAGGAGGAGTTAGAGGAGGAAAGAGGGGATTCGGCCTTGGGTGAGGTGGATCAGGCATCAGGAGAGGAACTGTGCAAAGCTACAAAGTGCAAGTATCTCTGGGATGCATGCTGGGAGGAAACCAGATTATCTTAGAGGGTTTAGGGTAGAGTAACAACTATTAAGTTATTGTGTTGTGAAGCTTGTTATCAAACAAATATAAAAGTCTCAATTGCTTGTGTGATAGCCAGGTTAAGAGAGAAACTGAGAAACAAACACAATTTTATTTCAGCAATGGAAAGCAAACTAAGACAAATGGAGGGTTATATATCAGGGGTTTGAGAGTTTACTCTTGGCACCCGGCTGGCTAGTTGGTTTCTGCTCTTTCCAGTTGGTCATGTCCTCAAGGTGTAGTCAGCCATGTCTAAGGCCTCATCTGTGCTGGGAGGGTCCCCCAGCACTCACGCACAGGCTTGTTCTGTGACATCCAAATACTATATAAGAACTTGGTAGCCTAACCTGAAGCACAGTATATGGGTTCCTGCCTCCTAAGTTAGACCCTTCTGGAGTTTTGAGTAGCTCCTTGGAGTCTAATGGAAAGTGACCCTTGACCTGGAGACTTCCTATCTCTCTTATCCAGGTTTCTAGCACAGGCTTCTCAAGCGATGCCTCATTTAAATGAAACCCTCAAGCCAGAAAGCATGAGGGGCAGGTCAGAGCATAGGCTTCTGACCTCTTGGTGGTCCTGCCTGTCTTGCTTTCATCACAATCTGCCCTCAGTGTCCACATCACCATCACCGGCCTCAGGAGCCCTGAATTCTGCATTCTGGCCCCGAAGATCCACGTGTCTGCGGACTGGGTCCTTCTGAGCAATTCTTTCGCAAACCGAAGCTGAATTTACCAACTCATGTAACAGCTCCGGAATCATCCTCCACAGGAAGACCTTGGACACCTTGCTTTCAGGTACCTCTTGCACTGTGATAGGGGCTCAGAAGGAGCAGGAGGGAGACACGGGGGGTTCTGTGATGCAGCTCTTTCACTCCTCTCTCGGCAGGGTCACGGAGCTGAGAACATTGATAGACCCAGCCTACTTCTACTGGACCTGGGCCATGGCCAAGCTGTCATGGATACTGTCTAGGCAATACTTCTTATTTCACCAGCCAGCTTTTCTTCTAATTGCTCTTTTCTTGGCCATCTTTGGCTACGGCTACTGGAACCAGAGGAGCCAGATTCACAAAAGTGAGCTAACCAGGGCAAACATGGCTGAGACAGAACGTTATAGACTGAAAGACAAACCTTCATCAAAACTAATATATCCTCAGCCAAGCCTGCTCCAACCCGCTAGGAGAGACGTCCTCGTTCTGTCCAGTTGGCTTGCCCCAGTTGTGTGGGAAGGGACTTTCAACATCGACATCTTAAACAACCAGTTCAGACTGCAGAACGCCACCATCGGACTGACGGCGTTTGCCTTAAGGAGACACACGATTTATCTGAAGCAGTTCCTGACGTCCGCCGAGAAGCACTTCATGGTGGGCCACAGGGTGAATTACTACATCTTCACGGACCATCCTCCCTCCGTCCCTCACATCCCCCTGCACAAAGGGAGGAAGCTGACCGTCTTCCAGATCCCAGGTCATGACCTCTGGCACGACGTCTCCATGCAGCGAATGGAGTTCCTCAGCGTTTATTCCAACCAGCGCTTCCACAAGGAGGTGTCCTATCTGGTGTGTGCCGACGTGGACATCAGCTTCCAGCATGACGTGGGCGTGGAGATTCTCTCTTCCTTGTTCGCCACCCTCCACCTGAGCTTCTACATGGTCAACCGGGAGCTGTTCCACTACGAGCGGCGGCCCTCGTCCCAGGCCTACATTCCGGAGGACGAGGGGGACTTTTATTACACGGGGTCCTTATTTGGGGGGTCGGTGGCGGAGGTCTACAGGCTCGTGGAAGCCTGTCACCAGATGATAATAAAAGACAAAGCCAGTGACATCGAGGCCGTGTGCTATGACGAGAGTTACCTGAACAAGTACCTGCTTTACCACAAACCCACCAAGATCCTGTCTTCGGAATACATGTTCAGTGAAAAGATAGCTTTGGAGAGGTGGTCCAAGAGTCAGCTGAATCTGTTCAGCCTCATCAAGCCCGTTAAGATTTTGGACTTGGCGAAGAATTACACGCTTACACGCGGTGACTTCACTGAATAAAGGCATCTTCAGAAACTACTCAGAGAGAGACAGAGACAGAGCGGGAGAGAGAATGGTGGGCACCGAGCCCTCGTCATAGTAACACTCCCTGTCTTTTGATTTACTCGTATGAGTCCCTGAATGGATGTTTGTGCACCACATGTGTGCAGTGCCCACAGAGACCAGAAGGGGGCGTCTGACCCCATGGAGCCGGAGTTAGGGATGCTTGCGCGTGTGAGTTCTGGGAACCAAACCCTGAATGTCTGCAGTGCCTGCGCTTAACCGCCAAGCCCTCTCTCTAACTCTACACCGCCAGCATGCTCTCTTCATTTAGGATCAGACGTAACAGAAAGGGTAGCCCCGCTTCTTCTCCCTGAATGCTGAGGAGAGTTGTCTCCCATCCAAGCCCCAAATGTAGCAGAGCACCATAACACAGACACGCGTGCGCGCACGCACGCGCACACACACATCCATCCATACACATACACACACAGTAGAAAGATCTCATCGTTGTGTGGAAGAGCATGGTTTCAAAGGAAGACCTTCTAGCCCTCAGCTGCCTCTCTGTCCCTGTGCAAGCTGTAAGGCCGGCCTCCCTGTCGTCTGCCCGCCTATCCTGGTCACTCACTTTTCAGTGTCAGTGTTGTGATTTGTCCGTTTCCGGTGAGTAGGAAAACCGTGCTTGTAGCAGCCAACGGGAAGTCTGTGTTGTCATGAAAGCCCAGCTCTGACAGTTAAAAGTGGTTTTTAATGGGGCGGCAGAGGTGGCTCAGTTGGTGAAAATGCTTGCTACGCAGACGTGAGGACCCAAGTCGCAGCACTCACATTAGAAAAACAAAACAAAACAGAACACAAAAGCAAACAAGAAAACCCCCAGGTGCTCAGGCAGCCATATTGCTGAGATGTTATGGGTGTAGCTTCCGGACATAGGACACATCCTCAGAGCAGACGACCTGGCCCTCTGCCCCCTTCCGTGATGTTCCTTGGGAGTCAGGTGTTCTCTTGTAGATGTATCCAATGGGTCTGGCCAGCCCCTCCCACCCCATGGTAATTATTCTCTGTGATGTTTCCATCTGAGGGAAAGGAAATTTCTTTGATGAAGGGAGGGTGCTACTTTTTGTTTTGTTTTTGTGGTTGTTTGTGTTTTGTTTTTTTGTTTGTATTTTTGTTTTGATACAGGGTGTCTCTGTGTAGCCTTGGCCGCCCTGGACTCATTTTGTAGACCAGGTTGGCCTTGAACTCACAGAGCTCCACCTGCCTCTGCCTCCCAGGTGCAAGGATTAAAGGCGTGCGCCACCACTGCCCAGCCGAGAGCTACTCTTGTTGGGGGTATAGAGTTAAGTATTTAGAATGCTGTTAGAAATGATGGCGGCTTAGGAAACCGGCAGAAGTAGGTCTCTCTACGTTCTGTGGCCTCAGCTGCCCAAAGTAGTTGACTAGGCTTTTGGTACCAGGCATGAGTTCCCTTCTTCTGAGCTGGAAGTTCAGGTGGACAGCTGTTGGTTGCCACTGAGATATCGGTGCCACTATTGCGTCTTTGAGGATATCTTTCCGGAACTGCGAGAGCTGTGGTTCATAGGTGGAGGGTAGGACTGTTCCTTGCTTTTCTCCCACACGGTACGGTGCAAGCTCGTCCTCAGGGAGGAAGCTTCTGGCTCAGCTCTGGCTCGATTCCTTCCAGCCCCGTATCCGTTGTTGCATGCCGTCTTCAGCGACAGGGACTCACCTTTCGCTTCTGGGAGGCAGGCAGGGGCAATGGCAGTTGGCCCTTTGGGCAGTCACTTGGATTACACCTGACCAACAACTCCAAAGGGAGTTTCCCGTGCCCGGTGCTAGGCTTTTGTTAGAAAAGCTATGCTATGGGGGGGGGGGCATTGTCAGCCCAAATACTGTAACTCCCCTTAAACTCTGAACATATGTATATTCACACACTTGCACGTGTTAAATGTAATTTTAGGTGAACTAATATTCCCTATGGCCTTTTCATACAGGCTCAAGTGTTGCTTGTCTCTCTTCCTTCCCTCTCCTTCACTGTTGCCTTCCTTACCCACACTTCTAAAGTTCCCCCTCATTTTCCCACTTCCCCTTCCATAGCACCCAGGTCCTGCTCCCCCCCCCCCCCCGTAGAGTCCCCCCTGCTACCCACCACAGTCCTCTTTACTTCCCTGGTTTCTGTGGTTCCTCCCGGTTATAGACTCACACCTGGAGATTGGTATCCAGGAGCCACAAATGTGACAGAACATGTGACCTTTGTCTGCCTGGGTCTCAGGTACCTCAGTCTGTGCCAGTGGCCATGCCAGGGAAAATCTTACAAGGCCCCAGCCCTTAATGAAGGTGTACGGGCAAAGAATGGCTCCTGAGAGGGGGAGAATCAGTCCTCCCCAGGGATGAACCCCTCACTGGTTATCCGGTCCCAAGTGATCATGCCTAGACACATACACACATAAGCTAAATGGATTCAGCAAGTTGTATTTATGTATTGATTCATTTGTGTGTGTGTGTGTAAAAATAAAGCAAAAGGGTCCATTAATTACGGAGGAAGCAGGGGGCACATGGGAGGAGTTGGAGGGAGGGAGGAAATGATGTAAATACAATATACATATATGAAATCTGCAGAAATGTTCTGTCACCCCTGGCAAGGAGAAAAGAGGGTCCCTGGAGCTCAGTGGCTGGCCAAGGCCAGCCGAATCTGTGAGGTCCAGGCTCAATTACAGACCCTGTGTGAAGAGATTGATAGGGAAACACCCACACACACACACACACACACACACACACACACACAGTGACCTTTATGTATGACCCTTGTCATACTGGCTGCTACAAAGCAGGCGGAGAAGTCAGTTATTCTCTTCAGTGGCTAATGTATTTAACAGTTTCAGGGCCATCTCGACCCTGTCCCCTCCACCTCCACCCTCAGCCCCATCCTGTCCACACCTGTCTTCAACGCCTGCCAGCATCTTTCCTAATGTGCACTGTGCTGCCTCTAAGAACACTCTATTTCATTTTTATCATGGTTTTAGCATGGTTGCTCTGTGTCGTTTTGTTTTGTCTTGGCGCCCAGTTCTACTGTCAAAGATCTGTTTGCTATACTTGTGGAAGTTGATTCCCAAGCTCTGTGTTTTGCGTATTGAGCCATTCAGTTGTCTGTTGTTTCACCGTCATCAAAGCATTTTGATTAATGTGGCTTGATTGCACACCTTAGGTTAGATGGAGAAATTCTCCAACTTCCCTTTCAATATTATGGATAGGATTGAGGCTGTTTGTGTGTAGCCACTAATGGACCAGCCTGACTCCATCTTAAGATTAGAAGCCATCTTATTACAAGGTCATTTCTGTTTTCTGGATTTGACTAGGCCTTGGCCCGTTTTCTGGAATTTAACATGTTCCACACCCTAACCTCCACCCTCTAAGTCGCTTTGCTAAATAACTGAAGTGTTCTGCCAAGTTCCCGTGCAACCAAAAGCCCTGGAAAATCCTCTAGTCTTGCAGTTTTGGCCGTGGCTAATATAAGCCCCATCTTCTCCTGTGTTTAAAAAGATATTTTTCTCAAAACCCACTTTAGGGAGATAGCCTCGTCTGATTATCTTGCTTAGTTTGACGACAAGGATTGGTTAGTGGTCTTTGCTCCTCCTATTCGGTAAGACCAGCGCCAGCCACAGAATAGCTAACACTTCCAGGGAAGCCCAGGGTGACGCCCTGCTGGGCTTCATTCAGCAGGTTAAGTTTCAGGCCTATTTGAGAACCAAGAGTGAAAGGGCAGCATCTTACACCTGGATCTCAGCACTTGAGAGGTAGAGGCAGGAGGGTCGGAGTTCAAGGGCAGTCTGGGCTACACAAGATAATGTCTCAATAAATAGACCAAAAAATAAAAAAATAAAGCTATTTTGGGAAATGTTGGTCGAAACCACACGTAACCGCTAAGGGCATCTTTCCTATTATATGTTGAGCTGACCTCTAAGAACACCTGCTTTCATTTTTGTCATTTCTAAGAGAAATTTGTTTATAGTACCAGGTTCTAAGTTTCGACACATCGTCCTTCAGAGACGATTGTTACTATTCTTAAAGTTTTTAGGTCAAGTGTGTTTCTCTGTGAGACATTTTGCACCCATTAAGCGCTGACTATGTAGAGTTGAGACAGCTGAGCTGACGGTTACTCGGGGTTACCCGTCTCACCCCCACAGTCTGCGGCAGCAAACAGATGGCCATCAAAAACGAGAAGTGTAGGGGGTGTTCCAGCCCGAGCTGGGACGGCTGGCAGGGGTTGGGGATGGAGGATGGCGTGGGAGGATGAGGTTGGGATACGGTTGGGTGTAGCGAACAGAGCGGGCAGGAGATCCGCACGAGGAAACGGCCCAGGAAGAGTCACACGTGCTCCGTGAGTGGGAACCTCAGAGGGTTATTCCGGCTGCGAACTCCTCCACCCCGCCAGGGTTGGAACCCAAGACTGGAGCGCCAGGAGCGCCAGGAGCGCAGAGCGCACGCGCGGAGGACACAGAACCGGAAGCAAACCGCGAGATCCAACTGCCAACCCCCAGCGTGGCTGCCCGGAGCTTCTGAAGCTCCCTAGCCTGCCAGTGCAGCGTGTGGGCCCGCTGGGGTCAGGTCGTTTAGGCATTACTCAGATCCGCAGGCCCCTTGCCACCTGCCCGCTTGCGGGTGAGGGAGAACTGTGTACAGGTGAGAGGTTTACAATGAGTCCTCCACCAGTTTGCATAGCACTTTTTGGAGCCTGGGTTGATCATGGAGCTTGACGGCACAGACTGTTTGGCCAGTGACGTCCCAGCACCTTCCTGTCTGTGCCTCCCAGCGCTGAGAAGTCAGGCTTGTGTCGGGGGGGGGAGGTCCCCAGGGATGCTGTGTATGCTAGGCGAGCATTTCCATAGGAAGGCTGAGGATGTGAGCTCGGGTCCTCCTGCTTGCACGGCTCGCACTGCACCCACTAAGCCTTGCTCCTGCCCCTGAGGCCCACGTTTGTAAGCCCAGAGACTGAGAATGATGTAGACACATTTAAAGAGGTTAAATCCATTTTTGAAAAGGTGGGTGGGGCAGCCGGGCGTGGCGATGCACTCCTTTAATCCCAACACTCAGACAGGCAGAGGCAGGCGGATCTCTGTGAGTTTGAAGCCAGCCTGGTCTACAGAGGGAGTTCCAGTACAGCCAGGGCTACACAGAGAAACCCTGTCTCAGAAAAAAATAAGAAAAGGGAGTGGAAAACACCAAAAGTTACTTTTTAAAATATGTGTGAGTGTTTCACCTACACGTATGTCTGGCCACCCTGAGCCTGCCCTGCCCAGAGAGGCTGGAAGAGGGTGTTGGAGCCCCTGGAACTGGGATTGCAGGTGGTTGTGAGCCACCACGGGGGTTCTGGGGGCCTAACCCAGGTCCTCTTAACTGCTGAGCCATCTCTCCCGCTCACGATCTGGCCTTCCAAGAGGAATTCTGCAAGCTCTGTGCTGTCACGTCCTGCGTTTTATAGAGCTTCTCCTAATTTGTTCCCCAATTCGAGGTTTGTATTCTTTTAATTGTTTAAAGGTATAGGAGCATGGACTCTCACCATATTACCCTGTCCATCAGGCTGCTCTATAATTGGAAAGCCATAAAACTCAATTATATCTTCTCCTTTCTGCCCAGCTTGTTGTAAAGAAGCTTGTAAAGGGGATCCAGTTGCTCTCATAGTGGACAAAGGAAAAGGTCCCCTTGTCTTTCGAGCTACAGCAACTGTAGCCATCCCAGGAGGAGGGTCCAAGCCTGCAATCAATGAGGGAGTGGGGGGTTGAGCCTCCTTTTCCCTAGTAGTTAATTCTCCAAATTTTCTGTTTATTTCCTCCAAGCCCCATTCCAACTTTTTTTTATTCCTTTGTACCAAGGCTTAAGTCTTGTAACACTCATAGCCTGAATTGGAGGGTATCTCTCAGAATAATACTTAGCTGTTTTTTTTCCTCCAACATTGCAACCTAATCAGGATCTGAGTCATCCTCAAAGACTTCTTCTAACAAATTATCATTAGGAGGGACATATAACTCTTCTGGAGGAGAGCCGATGGTTTAACCTCATTTTGTCCTGAAGCCTCCCACCTTTCTTTCCTCTTTCTAACCTTTAAAGTTTCACTTTCTCAGTCCTATGCTGCATATACAGACTATGTCTAATTAAATTCCATACAAAAAACATGAGGATACTGCCTTGTCCCATTTTTACTCTCAAATTTTACTCATTGTACCCTTTCCTCTTTACTTTATGATCCAAGCTCGCCAACACCTGTGGTATCCTTCATTGCTTCCCTGTCTCTCAGGTCCCTGTTTGGGAGCCAAACTGTAGGAGCCCACCAGCAGAGTTGAACAGTTCTTGAGTGGGAAGTGAGGATTGAAAGAAAATTTAAAAACAGAAACAAACTAACAAAACACAAGCCGCTACACATGGGATCTGTTCGAGAGGGCTTCCGGTAGACTCCGTGCACACAGGTTTATTCCACAGTCCCTTTTTATAGTCAGAGCAAAGCACCTTGATACAATGAAGTTTCATCCAGAAGTCACTTGTTTCCCTGGACCACCTGTCTGTGTGATCCTCACACAAACAAAAGAATGTGAACTTGGCAAAAACATCCTGGCTATCCCTGTCTCCAGGTGAAGGCCAGGGTGAAAACATGTTTTTTTTTGCTGAGAGCTCAGTAACAAAGCAGGCTGGCAAACAAGGGGCTTTCCACAGAATATCCATGCCACATTTTATCAATTCATAAACTAGACTCAGAATGACAAATGCTGAAGGTTTTTTCCTCATGTATGGAATCTTGATATTGTAAATATACACAAAGGTAGACTTGGGATGAACAGACTCTGGTGACAAACAAGTATCAGTGGGTAAATATTGTCATCTGTATGAAATTATTACTGAATGTAAATGTCACGTGACTACCTTATTATGACTATTTTATTACATTATGTCCCTTATACAACAGTCAGCGGCAGGGCCGAGAATCATTCTGGGTCTGACCCCGGTCCTCATGCTAGGTCCAACCACACAGGTCACTTCTCACCATCTGCCAAGGTCTCTGGCCAGACAGCACCCATTCTCTGCACAGCACACTGACCCTGGATACCTTAGGGCTGAGCCATGATCATTTTATTAAAGTTGCTGTGATGTTGATACATTTCAGCTATAGCTTAAAAACACAACAACAGGACGAAGCATCAGTTGCAAAGACTCGTCTGCATCAACAGTTTAGTTTCAAATGGACTCTTAACACAGAAGCTTATCACTCCTGTTACCTTCTGGGAGGTGGCGGTGGGACCCTGGAAGACAGCGAGATGAGCGTTAGAGTTCAGACCTGAAATTCCCCACTTACCCCGGTCACCCCGTCCCAGCAAAGCGTGGTCTCCAAAGCCGCAGTGAGCAAAGGTGGGACACCGGGAAAATGACTGGGTCCTGAGGGCCCTGAGGGATGACTCTCGTGACAGATTCGCAGAGGAGCGTGCCGTTAGGACACGGTGTAGACTTAGGAAGCAGGCCTAGTTGGAGGAAGTAGGCCACTAGGTTCCCATGAAGGATAGTTTTGTCTCCATAGCCTTGGCCCCCTCTCTTGGTCCTTGCTTCCTGGTGGCCAGCATTGAGTGTCTCTCCTCCACCATGTGCCACAGGCCTGAAGCAAGGAGGCCAGGTAACAAAGGGCTGGAATCGCAGAGACTGTGAGACAAAATAAGTTGTTTTTTTCTGGGTATTTTTTCAAAGTGATAGGAAAACACTGAAGTTTTCCTCAGTGGTAGGTGCCAGGCTTCCAGAAGGGCTTCCCAGTCCTGTCAGAAGGGCAGCCATAGATGCTTGAGCCACCACCTAACTCTCCTGTCCCTAAGCTTTTACCATGACTGACCTAATAGGCAAGGATATACAGAACATTAGACCTCATTCCAAAATTAAGACAGCCCCATAAGGAGCATGATAGAGTTAAGTTGCGCCAGTACAGGCCACATTATTCTTTAACAGGGAGTAAGCATATTCCCCAGCAGTTTTTTTCTCAACCAATTGGAAATGTGAAGCCTGGGCCCACACTAGTAAAAATCAGTTCTGATCTTAGGTGACGTGTTAGAAGACTGAAAGTTCCTGCCACTGACCCCGTTTGAAATCTCTCTGGAAGTCTTGTTTAGCATTAGTCCAGGGATATTTGCTGACTCTTACAAGAATATCCCCATGTTTCAACATTTCTTGGAAACTGCGTCTGTCCAGAAGTTGCTTACTCCACATGTACTCAGGAGAGAGGACCTTGGTGGGCTTGTTATAAAGGAGATACTTGTTCAAGTAGCTTTCATCAGGCCATTCGACATGGATGTACTGAGCCTTGTCCAGCATCGCTGCCTGGTAACAGAACTTGGTAAGCCTGAAAACCTCCAGCACCTTTCCCCCGAAGAAGGCTCCCGAATAGTAAAAGTCTCCCTCCTCCCCAGAAATGTAGGCTTGTGACTGAGGCTGCCTCTCATAGACCAAGGACTCCCTTGGGAATCCAAAGAACAGAGGATGCAGCGTGCCAAACAAGGAGGACAGGATCTCCACGCCCACACTGTGGCAGAAAATGATGTTCACGTGCGCACAGACCAGGTAGTCCACCTCCTTTGCAAAGCGCCGCTTGGAAAAAAGGCTGATCATCTTCATTCTATAGTCATAGGCGTCCTGCTGGTGGCCAGAGCCCTGAGCTTCCAGAATCACAATCTGTCTCCCCTCATGGGGCTTCATGAGTGGAACGCTATCCGGCTGGTCAGTGAAGACGTAGTACTTCACCCTGTGTCCCTCCATGAAGTATGTCTCTGCAGTCTGCAAAAACACCTCTAGGAAGGCTACATATTCTCCGGTGGCAAACACCACTAGCCCAATGGAGACGTTCTGGAGCCGGAATTGCTGGTTCAGGATTTCTATTTGGAAAGTCCCGTCCCACACGATGGGGGCCAGCCAAGGAGTCTGTATGGCTATGTTTTCACTCCTGGGCATAATTAGTTTCGACTGATAATACAGCATCCTAGACACATTCACTATCTTCAGGTAGTCCATTTCTCTAACCGTCATGCTCTCCCTGGCTAGCGTGTATTCCGGCTTCTGCTTTTCCAGCATCAGGAAAGCGTAGGCAAAAAAGGCCAATGTGAGGGTTAGCAGGAAAACGAAGGTCATAGAAAGAAGTGAGTGATACTTGGATTTGTCAGATTTCAGCAGTGACTCAATCATGACTGTCTGTGTCTCCTGCATGGAATGAGGGACACTTCTGGTAAACATGGACCAAATAGAAGGTTCTGAGCTATCCAAGTCTCCAACGCACAGCTCCCAAACTCTCTAAGGCTGACCCAAGCGCCAGGCGCCACGTGGTTCACGTGGAGGAAGCCTCGAATCCCAATAAAACTCCAACGAAGTCAGTTTCTTTCTCTGGTGCTTTCAAAGAAACTGTACGGCAGGATTCAGTCACTGGACCACGGAGACAGGACCACAGCTGACAAGACAGATCTCAAGATCCCTGAAACATGCTCAGGAGACTCAAAGGGCATCGCTGAGCAGGTCAACAGGAGAGATTGTGATGAAACCAGGGCAGGGCACCAGAAGGGACCTGGTGCTCAGGGCACTGGTGCTCCATGTTGCCCTTGACAATTACTGCTGATGGAACTGTTAGTGAAAGCCAGTTCCCTGAAAAATCCAGAGTTGAGACCAGGCTGTCTCAGGCATCACATCTAGATGGGAGGATGTGGGTTCTCTCTGGGAAGGACCGATTTGGTAGGCCACAGTAGAGGGAGTGATGTGTGAATCAACGTTTGTTTTGTTTGTTTTTTTTTCCCTTTATTCTCCTAATATCAGATAGAACCCACTGAAGATTTGCTTTGGGGTAGCAGGGCTTACATTATGAGAGCTAGGATACTGACTTTGATTGGCATTGATAAGCATCACCCTAAGTGAGTGCCGCCCTTTTGGAAAACACATCCTTGAAAGGTCCAGGCTTGGTATTTGTTCCAATCTTGAACAATGTCAAAGAACAAGAGATTCCAAAGTCACGGGCAACCTCTTTAACTTAGTTTGCTTTCTGTTGCGGTGATAACAACCAAGACAAAAGCAACTTGGCAAGGAAAAGGTTGATTTCATCTTACAGGTGGTCCACAGTCTACCGTGAAAGCAAATCAGGACAGGAACTGAAACAGAAGCCAGGAAGGAACAGTAATTACTCACTTGCTCCCCATAGCTTGCTCAGCCTGCTTTCTTGTACAATTGAGAACCCACTGTCGACTGGGCCCACCTGAATCAATCATTAATCAAGAAAACACTCTGCTGAGGCTTTCTTTTCTCCAAAGTGCACTATGGGAATCTATATTAAAGATAGGGTGGCTATAGCTGTGGGGGCTTCTATCCGGGCCATTTATTCCATCTCACCAGCTACATGTCTGTTTCTCTGCCAGTCCCACGCTGCTCTTGTCACTATGGCTCCGAAGTATAATTTGAGGTCAGGACTAGTGATACCTCCAGCATTTTTCATTATTTCTCAGGATTTCTTTGTCGTTTGTGTTCCCATTTGAATTCTAAGGTGGCCTGTTTATTTCTGTGAAGAACAGAGCAGGAATTATGATGATGATTGTGATGACTCTGTACATTGGTAAGAGCCATTTCCACAACATTTATTTTTTTCAGTCCCTGAGCAGGAGAAATCTTTTCATATTCTAGTGTCTCCCTCAGCTTCCTTCTTCCAGTGCCTGTAATTGCAGACATCTTTCACTTCGATGAAAGTTTATTTATTGGGTTTATTCCAGGGCATTTTATTAGTCTTGAGGGGATTTTAAACATGATCACCACCTTGTTCGTTTGTCTCTCAATATGTCTTCCATTAATATGGATAGGAAAGCAACTGATTTTTCTATGTATTTTTGTGTCCTGCCACTTTAGAAAGTATTCATCCATCTCTAAGAGTTTCTTGGTGGAGTCTTTAGGGTCCCTAATGTACAGAATCACACCATCTGTGAAAGACCCCAGCCTCACCCTAAGTTAAACATAGCTAACGCCATTTTGTGAGACACCACCACTGTTTTGTAAAACTCTAAAGGCCAGATGAGAAACTGAAAAATTACTGAGAAACCTAGCTGTGTCACCCACTTGGGATATCTGTGGTCAGGCTGCCCCTGTTGAGCTAAAAACAACTTGTTGTGACTACCCTCATGGGATATCTGACAGAGGTTGTTCCAGCTGAGATAGGGAAAAACAAAATAACAGGTGGCCACGTTAAGGGGGTGGTCATCATGACCCTTTTTGACCACCCAGTTCTGGAATCTTGGTGTCCCTGCCAAACTTTGACGCAAACCGTGGTCTCATGTAAACGTACCAATCAGCCCCCTGTAACCATGCTTCTCGCTTCTGTACCCACGCTTCTGCTCTAAAACCCTATAAAAACCCCAACTTTCCACCCAGGGGGCGCACAAAAGTCATCCGAATGACCTTGCTGCCCCGGGTACCCGTGTATCAAAATAAAGGCCTCTTGCTGTTTGCATCCGAATGGCCTCGTTGTTCCTTGGGAGGGGGTCTCTCAGACGGAAGATACCCTCCGGGGATCTTTCAATCTGCAAAGATTTCTTGCTCTTTTTCTTAATGCCCCTTTCACTCTCTTGTCTTACTGCTCTAGCTAAGACTTCATACATGATATTGAACAGCAGTGGAGAGAGCGGACCCCCTTGGCTTATTCTTGATCTTAGTGGAAACGCTTTGAGTGTTTCTGTATTTAGCATGAGGTTGGCTGTTTGTTTGTCTCGTGTAGACGTATATATTATTGAGATATATTCTCTCCATTCCTAGTCATTTCAGAGTTTTTCTCATGAAAAGACGTTGTATTTAACAGAAGCCTTTCCTGCGCCTGTTTAAATGCTCCTGTGATTCCTGCCTTTGAGTCTGTGATGGCACTCGGTGATTTGCATATGTTCCACCCATCCCAGCACCCCTGGAATGAGGTCAGCCTGGCCTGTTCTTGAATTCAGCACAACATGACTTTACTGAGAACCTCTGTGTCTACAGTCATCGCGGAGACTTGTGGTAATTTTAGAAGTATGGTCTAATATGTTTATTATTAGCCCTATAATTATTATGGGGGCATTATCTAACTCACTATATAATCAACAAAGGACACAGACTCCTGATAGATTTTATAATTGCCTTATGTCATTTTGGGCTGGGCAGATAACTCCACCTACGCCCCCATCCCATTCCATCTGCTTTAATCATTCCTAATTGGGCTGCCTCCCATCCATAATCCCAAATACTTGCTAATGTTCTTCATCAGTCCTTTCCATGCCATTCCTGGAGTCCTTTCTCCCGGCCCATGTGGTTCCTTCCACGCTAACCCATCGTGTCTTCCTCCATCCTCCTCCTCTTCTTCTTTCTCTCCTTCTCAAGATGCTCTCTGTCTCTTAGCCCTCCAACCTAGGTCATGTCTACCCTGTCCACCTTGCCCAGGTGTGTCAGCATTTTATTGCTCACACAGAGAGGCAAGTTTACAAATCATTTGGGGTAGTGAGTGTCTGCTTGTAAAAAAACAACAAGCCAACCTGGTGGGGGGGAGAAATTAAGATTAGGATAGCACCAGACCAACCCCCAACAGAGATTAGCCTGTCATTTTCATGTTGTGTTTTTGTCTGATTTTGACATCAGGGTAATATTGGCTTCACAAATTGTATTCTCCTTTTCTGCTTTATGGAATAACTTGAGACTCAATAATCTCACTTCATCTCTAACAGCTTGGTAGTATTCAGCAGTGAACACAATATCCTAGACAATTTGGCCTGGGAAGTTTTTCACTACTCTTTGATCTCATTGTAGTTGTAAGTTACATTGTAGTATTGTTACATTATAATTATAAGTTGTATTGTAGTTATAATTACATCATCATTATAAGTTACATTGTAGTTATAGGTTACATATCTTGCCTTGGTCTAGGTAGTTCATATGCATATAATCCATTTCTTTCAGATTTTCCTAGGCAGTGTGACTAAAGTGTATCATTATGATTTTTTTTATATTGTTGGTATTGTTAATCCCAAAGAGGGAGGAGAAAGATACTGACCCAAATCATCATAGCCAAATTAATTAAAGAAAGCAATTAATTAAGGAAAGCTATTTATTTGTGTGCACAGGCTGCCTCTCCCTAAGGCATCTCTCTATCTATATCTGAACATAGAAACATTTCTTATTTCTAGCTGTTTCTGTCTGTTCAACCTAGGAAACATAGTTCTATGATGAACTAGTATCTAACATGACCATGAGTTTGTTAACTGACTGCTTACTTATAGTTCTTAATTAGCCTAAACAGTTTGTAATAGCAGCTTTTAAATGGACTAGAACTTCACATTGCATTTTTTAAATCAGTCACATAGGTACAATATCTTATGCAAGAGTCGAAACATATATACATAGTATATTGTAGCAAAATATAATACTAAATCTGTATCAACATACAAAGTCCGTACCAAACATAAAATATTTGGCTTGCTAATGCTCTTTAGTCCAAAAGTATATTCAATAATCTACCTTTATATTCTATTATTCCAATATTTTTCTATGTCCTGCCCCTTTCCTCTTTCCTAATCTTTTCCCCTTCTCCACATTTCCCCCTTAACATTACATAAAAGGGAAAGAAAGATAGAGGAAACAAAACAAAAGAGAGAAATCCCCAAGTCTAAGCTCCTAAATTTTGTCTCCTCCCTGACCAAAATCATTAACAACTTGCAACCAACCTTCTTTTAAAGATGACAAGCATTCATCACCCACATAATGACCAAAAACCACCTACCCCCTCTGAGGAAATGGGACATCATTCTCTTAATATTGTTTCCTGCTGTTTTGGGAGTGACATTTTCCTTTTTGAGAAGTCCCCAATAAAACTGGAATAAAGACCAAGTCTTAGGAGAGCTAGCTGTATCATGTGCTGTCCAGTCTCCCTGTGCTGGAAAAGTGCAGGGGTGACTTGAAGTCCTGACTGGAGAATCTGTGATGCTGGATGATCTAGCTAGCCATTAGGAAGCTGTTCTGTACGCAGAACTTTGAGGAAACAGGTA